TTTTTTTAAGTTGAAAAGAGAGAGAGTGATATTGACCTAAGATTTAAGATTCTAAGAGATTGGGGAAATCCTTAACTTTCAACGTTAAATAAAAATAAAAGCACATTTTTTTCCATATACCTGTATAGTGATCATACTGTAAATGGGTGAGAGTTAAATGAATGATGTTTTTATTTTCTGCTTTGTAAATTACCTTAACATATAAACCACACCACTATAAGTAGGATTTAAATAAAAACAAACCCACTGTCATTGAATTGATTATGACTTATAGACACCCTATAAGATTGCTAAGACTGAAAAATTTTAAGGGAGCCTGATCTTTCTAACTCAGGTTGGCCAATCAGTTTGAACTACTGACTTTGTGGCTAACAACCTAATCCTGAGCCTATTCATCCTTATAAACAGAAAAGTAATTTAATTTTTAAATGTGTACTACTTGGAAAATTAAGTTGTGAAAAGTCGAGGTTTGTGATAGATAAGAGAGGAAGTTTAGACTGCAATTATGCATTTTGATATAGAATTTATTCTTTATAGAATAATCACCAAATATAGAAAATATAACAATGAAAACTTAAGTCATCAAAGTGGAATCACACATCATTGTTCTTTTAACAGAATTGGATTTGAGCTGTTTGACAACAACAATCCTTCACTTCCATTGTAGTGAGCTATCAGGATAGTTTAGCAAATGTTTTCTGTGAACCTTTAATAAGATTGTTTTTAGTGATCATTAGGCCAATTTGGACTCATGGGGATCCCATGTGCTAAAAAGTAATGTAGAGAGACGGGCCTTGATGGCAGATAAGGTAGAAGAGCTCCGTCAGCAATATCACAGAATACCAGGTGAAGTGGGATCAGGGGAGAGCTCCAAAACCCTGAACCACATATATAAGAGTATTTAAAAAGTTTGAAGGCTTATAGCTACAGGAACTTGTAGTGGAAGTTAGAAATCTCATACTTTAGTATCTACCAGGCTCAGTGGCCCAGAACCAACAACTTGGGAGAGAACAAACGGGAAGACCAAGCAGGGAAGCAAGTTCCACAGACTAATGCCATGGGAACCTTGGAGCAAAGGTGGACAATATACTTCCTTTGAATTTGTTTTGGTTTTGTTGTGATTTCTTTCTCTCTTTTTTTTGGAACTGTTCATTGGCCTCTAACTGTCTGCGCACCTCCATTCAGGTGACTAGAGGGAGTGCCTGAGTGAGTGGACACCCCCCACACCCACTACTGGAGGTCCATCTACCATGCCTATGCACAGATCCTCTCAGCATTTAAAGAGACAGTTACCACTTAAAACCAGCAGTGTAAAATGGCCACAGCTGGCCCTGAACTGTTCATTAATAGGAAAAAGGCCAGAACAGGGGATGTGAAGAGGGAGAGAGTTTAAAAACAAAACAGGCCAGAAATTAAATCCTGAGGTACAGCGTAACAACCAACATCTTGAAATTTAACAGGTTGCCTTGAAGGCAAGAAGCTGAAAGAAGAAATTAAAGTCATACTTATATTAGGTTACAAATTTTCTTCTTCTTCTTCTTCGTCTTCTTCTTCTTCTCTCTTCTCTCCTTTTTCTGCTATAATAAACTACAGTATCCAATCCAGGTTTTGCTTTTTGTTTTTTGGGGAGGATTTGTTTTTGTTTTCTTATTATTTTGCTGTTGCTATTTTGGTTTTTGATTTTTGGTTCCCCCTTTTTACATTTAGGGGGCTCTTTCACTCCCAACATTACCCAAGAAGAGACAGCAATTGCTGCCATATAGTCAAGTTACAATGACACCCTATAAAACACCACAATCCAGGCAAGAACCAATACCAACTGTCCTACACCAGGGAGGGGGACAACACCTGTAAAAGTTACTCTAAGCAAAAAGAAGAGTGAAAAAAGAAGACCACCTCATGATCACATATACCTGTAGTCAATCAGAAAGCATAAAAAATACCAAAGCACACTCTAACTAAGCATTAAAGCCACAGCTAGGCACTAAATATGCCCAAGAAGCAAAAACAGATGACCATATCAGCACATGCCCAGAAACAAGATAAAATGCCTGAGACAAATGACATAGATGCAGATCTGGACTCCATGCTGAAAGGAAGGCAAGCCTTGGAAATGCCTGAGAAGGAATTCAGAAAAATGATTATAAAATGTTTCAAAACACTTTACAATGGAGTTGAGAAAGATAAGGAAGAAGTCAGTAAGGTGCTACAGGAATAATCAAATAAGATAGATACAGCATTGGAAACAATTCAAACCCTAAAGAAAGAGGTCCAAATGATCAATAATAGAATATCAATAGAAAATACACTGAAAGGGCAAAGGAGTAGAATTGAAGAGATGGGAGGTAGAATTAGTGAGTGGGAAAAGAGAAGAATCCGGTTTCAAGGCAAGTGAAGTGGACTGTCATGACCCACAGTGGAATACCACTAAGATAGAAGAACAAGCAGATCATTACTCATATTGATTACATATTTAATTATATCATTCTTTTCCTATATTCTTACATAGTGTTTAATAATGAATCTCATGAAATCTATGTGGCCTTCATTTCTGAAGTTCATAAACCACAACTTACTTCCCTGTTCTCACCACTCCCATAGGTGACAGACTGTTTTTTCCTGTTCTTTGTAAAGGTCATATCTATTTTTAACATCTTAATTTAATTCCTTTCCTGTTACAAGTTGTAGCTATTTGTTAATTTTCTTACCCCACACTATCCCATTGTCCCCTTTTAGTTACCTATTCTCTAACCTGTACAAGACTCTATTCACAGCCCATGTAACATTCCTAACATTTATTTAGTACATCTGTTCTTCTATAACACTCATTAAATTGTCAGGCTATGGTGTTTCTTTGTTTCTTTAAAATTCCCTTTGAATCGACTCCTGTAAAATTGAGACAATTTATGCAAGACTGATTTTTCCTGAATTCATGCTTATTTACAGAACCCATAGAAGGAGCCGTAAATGTAGCAATACAATATATCCCCACAAGTGGAATCAGAACCATCCCAAACAAGAGAGATAAAGGGTGCTTTCCCAAATCAGCCTTGTTGATGCTTCTTTGCCGGGATTGTGTCAAACGGCAATAGGGGGTTGGCTCCCGACATGTTTGATTTTGCAGTCCAGAATCAGAGGATCCTGAGACCATCAAGGGAAAAGAACAGAGCGCTGGACCCTACCCAGAGAAACAGTGATGCCAGAGATGAGGCAGAGACGATGGCATGGAGAGATGGAGGGGCTGGGGACTCTAGACCCCGAGAGGGAGAGGAGTTGTGTGCTGACGAACGGGGGTAGGATTGCAGGGTATACCCTTTCATTGGTTGATGATGCATGGAGGGGATTGTAACCATGGCAATGAAATGATATACGATATGATGACTGTAAAGCTAATGTTCTCCCATATAAACTACCATATAATTCACAATAAAACATTTTTTAAAAAAACTAAAAGACTTATAAAAATGTTAAAATGAAGAGAATTAGCTGCAAACATCCATTAGTAATTGGAACATGGAATGTACTAAGTATGAATCTTTGGTAAGGTGGAGGGTCAGAGAAAAACAGGAAGACCCCCAGGGAGATGGATTGGCAAAGTGGCAGCATCAATGGGCTCAATTGTGGCAACAATTGTGAGGTTGGCCCAGGATCAGGCAATGTTTCAATCTATTTTGCATAGGGTTGCTATGAGTTAGTACCGACTCGATAACACCTAACAACTACAACAACAACAACAGAGTCCTGGTGTGGCACTGTTGGTTAATGCACTAGACTGCAAAGTTGGTTTGATCCACAAGGTCAACATTTCAAGTTCACCATTCACTCCTCAGAAACCCTGTATAGGGTTTCTATGGGTCGGGTCTGACTCAAGGGTACTTAACAACAGAAAACAACAACAACAGCTTCTAGAATCACAACAACACATAAACCACCACAGTACTACAGACTGGCAGATAAGTTGTGATTGTTATAAAATAAAATTGCTGGAAACTTATACTAAAAAATAATAATAATAATGTAACAGTGAGGTCCATTACATCAGAAGTGTGGCTCTCTGGACAAAGGACAGAGAATACTGAAGAGGCAATTGTTGGTATACAGATGCCAGGCACACTTTCCGACTTCTCTGGTACCAGCAATTGATGAAATTGACCTTGACCTTCCTTGGGTGAACCAACTCTTCTCCATTTTGTGTTCATGGACTTGAGTGTGATCCACCCAAGCCTACCCAAAGATTCAAGTAAATTTCTTGGGTCAAAATGATTCTTTAACCTAGGTCAATAAAAGTCAAATGCAAGATTTTCTTACAATCATTGGAAGAGGTGGTCTCTTTCACCCTGTGCATTTGATTTAAAAGAAAAGAGTATTTTTTAAAAATCCCCTAGAAAAGAGCTATGATGGTGAATGGGTTTCTTATATAGATTTTGTATATAGTCCTGACTTCTTACAGCCTTGTAGGTCCCTCTACCATAACCCTCACCATACTGTGCTCAGATCACTGATAGTGCTCTTCCACTAGACAGTTAACACCCTAAGTAAAGGAGACACATCCCACACATGCTCAGTCATGACACAGAAAAGGGCCTAAATGCATATCTGTTAAGAAAATTACCCTGATGAACTCAGCAACACTGAAATGACACCATTGGTGGTTCTGTCACTAGGGACTCTGGTTTCAGAGACTCTAGTATTCTACTGGGTAAGTCTATAACCTACAGTTCCCATCTTCAGCCCTTGGTCTCTGCTCTGAATCATCGGCTGTGGATATTGATGTGGTGTCTGCTTGAATCTCCCACAAATCACTCAAAAAACATCAGCAGGTGTGGCAGGTTTGAAGTGAAGGGCATCATTTGTAGAAAGTCTTTTATGATGAAACACCACAAAACCAGAGGGGAACATGAGAACACTGAGCCGACCTCCGCAGTCTTCGGCTCCTGGGGAATAAAAGCAAGCCAGGAGGAAACCCCAGCAACTCCGACCTGGACAGTTGGCCTGTGAAGATGCAGCTCCTCCTGCTCCTCTTAGCCTGCGTTCTGGTACCAAGGACAGAGACAGGTGAGTGACCCCACCCTCCAGGCCTTACCCCATGTCATTGGAGGCACTGATCTCCCTCTGTACATTCCTGGTCCATCTATCTACTAGGAAGCTTCTTAGTACCTCCACTCCCACTCTTGGCCCCAGTATAATTTTGGATAAGTTATCTGTGGAACAAGCAGGAATATCTGTTCTTAAAATGAGTCAGGGGTAATATTCCTTCCCCAGGTTCTACAATTTTATTCTGTAAAGTGGAAATTTTGTAAAAGTGCAAGGCAATGAGTAGGGAACAAGAAAGAAGAAAAGCTCAAATGTCTCTGCAGAAGGTAAAGAGAGCCGGGCTTCTGTGACAACGTTGAGACTAGTCCTCCTTTCATTCACCCATCTGCTTGGAGGAGAAGCACACAACTCGGCTGACCTTGGGACTGGTGTAAACCACTGTCCCTTTAACACTGTTTACATTTTCTTTGTCCCAAGACCCTTCAGTCCATTTCTACAGTGCTGTATATTTCCTCTTATGTCTCAGCAACTTCCTTCTTTTTAAGCATAGGTCCCTATCTTTTGCAGACACAACTTCTCTGCTTTCCAGAATCCCATTACCCCAGCAACCCTCATCCAGTAATTGATAGCTATTCCTTCAGGCAGTCAGTGAAAATATCCTGGGCACCCACTCTGTCAACCTGAAGGAAATAGGGTCTAATACCATTTAGATCCCTAATCGCACATCTGGGACATTTAAAAATAGTACCATCACAGATATCACAGGACTCTGATGGGTCTTAGAAATTCATTTCAAATCAAGAAATAAAGAGGGGGATTTTCTGGAGCCTCTGGGACTTCACAGTCCCTTAGACATCTATGCTCACCTCCAACTACGTGCAGAAGAGAGATGACAGACCAAAGACTGTTCTTTCTTTGTTAGAGGAGAAAGTTAGGGCCTCTAACCCTAGCCACCCCACATCAGGCCATCCTAAGCTTGTGAATGCATAAGAATTCTGCAGGTGGTAGGTAAGCAGATGTTTGCTAAGGAACTCAGTGTTACACACAGCAGACCAGAGTTCTTCTTCAGGGGAGATCATCGGGGGACATGAAGCCCAGCCCCACTCTCGTCCCTACATGGCATATATTCAGTTCTTGAAACAGAACAATATGGCATGCGGTGGTTTCCTGATCCAAGAAGACTTTGTGCTGACAGCTGCCCACTGCTATGGAAGGTGAGGAGCAGCACAGAGCCCACACTCCTCAGGGAAGCCAGACCTTCTCCAAGGGCTCCTCATAGTACAGAGTGGGAAAGAGGGCAGCTAATTTTGTGAGGAGAGGACCAGGTCTGTGCCAGAGGGATTGCTGAAGAAATAGAACCAAGACTGACCAGCTGCGCCATATTGAGAACAAAGAGCATGCAACTGGGGTCAAAATGCAAACAAACTTGCAAGTTTCCTTGGAGGTACCTGATATCTGAGAAACACTTCTGAAGTTCCCAGCTTCTGGGTTACAGCTCCTGTGACTCCCCCTGCCCCACTCCTCTCTCTTTCTCTCTACAGCTTCATGAATGTCACCTTGGGTGCCCATGACATCAGAGTGTATGAAGAGACCCAGCAGTTCATTCCTGTGAGAAGAGCCATCCCTCACCCAGACTATAATGAGACTGTAATATCCAATGACATCATGCTCCTACAGGTGAGGCTTGCTTCCCAGGTCCTGCGAGTTTCTTCTCCCACCATGACCCTTGTCCTTTCCATCTTTCCACACTGGCTGCCTGGTTAGTTGTAGAGCCTTGGATGAGCTGGAATACGGTGCAGTCAGTCAGGGTCTCTAGACTCAGCAGCCTGTTGCTGACCAAGACTTTTTTGTCTCTTCCTATCAGTTGGAGAAAAAGGCCAAATTGACAAAAGCTGTAGGCATACTCCAGCTACCTGAGGAGAACACCAAGGTAAAGCCAGGGAAGACATGCAGTGTGGCCGGCTGGGGAAAGATCTCAAGAGTGAGTTCAACATCCAAACTGCAAGAGGTGACCCTGACTATACAGGCGGACCTGGAGTGTGAGTCCCGCCACCCCATCTCTTACAACAGCACCTCTCAGATATGTGCGGGTGACCCGAAGAAAAAGGCAACTTCCTTCAAGGTGGGATGTAGTATCTACATAGCCTGGCTCTAGTGAGAAGGATGTGAGGGATAGATCTGGGACCAACATACCCAATCATTGAGGGGACTGCTTCATCCAGGAGCTTGTAACCTTTTTTCCTTGAGAAGAGAAGAGGTTGAGAAGTTACTAGAGATTCAGCTAGTCTCCCAAAAGTGACTCTGAAAAAGGCCCTCTTCCAAAAGGAAGGACTGGTAACTCTCTGCCCCATTCCAAAGGTCCTTGGATGGTGCAAACTGTTTGTGTTCAACTACTAACCCTAAAGTTGGTTCTTCCAGCCCACTCAGAGGTGTCCTGTAAATAAAACCCTGCGGAGCAGTTCTACTCTGTAACACAGGGGATTGCCAGGAAGCAAAATCGACATGACAGCAACCGGTTTTTGTTTTGTTTGTTTTGGGGTGCAGGGAGCTTGCCCAACCTCAGAACAAATACACTAGAAAATAGCTCTCCCTCCATATGAAGGGATTAAAAACAGGCAGCAACTCAAAAGATAGCAGCCACTTTGTTAGTGGACGGTGCTCTATGCTAGATTTAGTTGTGCTCACCTGCCTCTGTTTACTTAAGCTGAGAACCAAAAGTCCCACAGTTCTTTATAAGGAGAGGATCCTGATCTAGGAGGAGAAGGTAGACACAGCCTATGGTGAGGTGAATCATCAACAATGTCTAGGCTCAAAGTTTAGCATCTGAGAATGCCCAGAGGCTCATAGACCCTATGTTTCACACCATACAAGGTGGCCTTCTCCTGGAGTGTGAAACTTGACAGGGCAGCAGAAACAGGAGGAGAACCAGCTCAGTCCTTCCCCTCTCTGTTCACAGGGAGACTCTGGAGGTCCGCTCGTGTGTGACAACGTGGCTCAGGGCATTGTCTCCTATGGAAACAAAAATGGGACTCCTCCAGGGGTCTACACCAAAACCTCAAGTTTCCTGAAATGGATAAAGACGACCATAAAGAGCCTCCAAAAGAGGAATTCATACTGAGTCTCCCTGTGATTGATCATCTTTTCCAGAGGTCCAGCACCTTAATAAATGTGTCCTGAATGAAAGAAAATGTTGGCTGTCTTGTTTATTCATTGATTTTCTTTCAAGTTCACCAACACTTGGTTCAGTAGGCTGAAAACATATTTCTACTCTGTGTCCTTCTGTCTTTTTTATCCCTACCACATTCCCAAATCACCATGCAAAGTAATCATGTGTCTCCTTCGTACTCATTCCTGTATCCCTATGGCCTGCTTCCAGAGCTGAAGTTCAACACCCTCTAGAGATAAAACAACCGTCTCTGGCCCTCTACTAAGTGGCAGGCATTAAAATGAATGTAATTAGTCTAACATCTGCACCCAAATGAAACTGTGCTAAGTATTCTCATTGAAATTGTCTTTCTCTTCCACCAGATCTGTTCCCATGGCCTAGTTCTATATGGGAAACAGAGGAATAAAAATATTTGCATTTTATTTTTCACTGCTGGTTATAACTTGCATGAATGATCATATGTGGCCCAAGAAAAACAATCTAAAGATGTGGAAATGACTGTGGTTTCCAGATATGAAAATTTCAAATGTGTTCACTGAAGCAACTTCACCTAGAAGAGAGAGGAGGCTTGAAGTAATTGTACAGATTCAATTTCGGGAAAAAACATTTATATAATTGCCTGATGACCTGAGTCTGGCTTTGAACACCCATCATATTGACTGACCAGGAGCATAATTCCAGTTATTATTGTAAGTTCTTGCCTTGGTCGAACCAAACTAGAATTCGAGGTCCATGTGGTCTGAAAAGATGGAGAATTCATCTAACTTAGGTCATCATGGCTACTGATATGTCCAAAGTTTCTAAAAACACCTTGACTCCTCAACATTGGAAGTTCTTACCTTAAGAGTAAACATACAGTATGTGACTTTTGCTGAATACGGGCTCCATGAGCCAGGTACACCCAGCAGTCATCTCCTCTGAGATCTTGTCATCAATATGGGACACTGTCTGGGAGTTGAATGTAAGTCCCATCCTTGCAATAATGCCTTCCTGCTACCAATACACACAACACTATGTTCATTTGTGACATGGAGTAGTTACTTTTCTCTGGAATTGTGTAACTCTAAAATGTATGCCTTCTCACACCTTGTCCACAAGCACACTGCAATACAATTACCTAATGACCTTGAGCATTTATACAACAAAAGAGCAGTGGACGTCACAAAGCTTCTAATTAGGGGATGGAAAAACATTCCTGCATTTCAGGTATAACAAGGATCTGGTTCTTTAATTGGAAAAGACAACCACAAAAAGAGATAAATACAGAAAGTAAAACAAAAATAGTATTTAGAAATGTTACCTACTAACATATATTCAATTTAAGTAGATTTACTTTGAAGAAAATGTTCTTTATTTTAAAACAAATTGGAAAACCATTGTAACAAATTAGAAAACCAAATTCTCTTTTGAGAGATAAAGAAACAAAGTTCCAATCAATGACACCACAGAAGTTAAGACAAAACCAGACCATGTGACCACCAGGACAGCAAAAATCTTAAATGTATACTCACACCCTCCTTATGATCAGTTCCTGCCATCCCTGGATAAGAGATGGTCTTCTGCTCGGACACCTTCCTGGACAGAAAGCCTTGGGACTCCTTGCAGACCCACAAAAAAAGTCAGGTCCTAGGATAGACAGGGAGGACTAGTAAATTGGCTGTTGGAGAAGATAGACTAAAAATGTATGGAAAGATCTTCTTAATTTGGTGGGTGAACACCATTCTTTTTTTTCTTTTTTAAGTTTACCTGATATATTTATTTTTATTCCTGTCTAACTACCTAAATTTCTGAAGACGGAACTAAAATGCAAACAAAGATTCTTGCTGTAGGGAAAGATACACAAATGCACAAAATAGAAGTTCTTATAATCAATTTTTTAAATTGCTTTTAAGTGCTGTCTAGTCAATTCTGACACGTAAGACCCTCTATAGGGTTTCCAAGGCTGTAAATCTTTGCAGGAGCAGAAAGCCTCATCTTTCTTCTGCAGGTCAGCTGGTGACCTCACATCGCCAACTTTGTGGTTTGGAGTTCAGTGTTTATCCAATGGATCCACTGAGTTGTCAATAATCTGTTTTAAGAAACATAGACAGCACAACTTAAAAATAAGCAAATCACTTTTACTCTTCTAGACAAAAATTTTCTTGTCTTTTTTTACCTCCCTAAACTGTTAAATGAATGACTCTTCTCTTTCAAGAAGCAGAAAAGAGAGAATTTTCACACACCTTTGTCCTAATTCTACCATGTGGTTTCCATCAGTTCAATTCTAGAGAAACATTGTCCATATTGATTTTTTAACTTTTTATTGTAAATTGAGTAAAGTTTAGAACAGATCATCAGTTTTACATTTAACAAATCATACACTTCATTTCATTTCAGTAGATTGCAATCCACACCATGTATTAGCTACTCACCGAGATGGGAAGAGAAAGAATCTGGTCACTGCAGAAGGTTAAGGTCTGACCTGCAGGCCCTATGGATATGAAATGTTTTGGGAATCAAGTTCATGGAAATTGACTTAGACGAGCAGACTCAGATGTCCTGTATGAATGCAGAAAACTCAAGTCCTTGTGCTGCATCCATCCCTCATATGAATACTTACATAGAACATCCCTGCCCACATCCAAGAGGAACTAGATGGAGTCCAGTCAGAATCTAAGGTCCAAGGGGATTGCCTGCCCTCATGGGTCAGGCCTGATAGCTCCTACATGCTGGGAAAAGACATCAGGAGAATAGAATTGAAAGGAAAAGAAAATGTGTGATTTGTATGAGCACTTTCATCATGGTATGTTAGCCACTGAGATACTTTTGTCTTCTAAGAGAACCAGAGTCGTATATCACCGATACAGACAGAAAGTTATTTTTCAGCACATGCTTAATTCCCGCTTCCCCCGCCCCATACACACACACACACACCAGATCCCATGAATTACATAGAGACATTTGTAGAGTCCTCAGTAATAGTACAATGTCTGGAATCACACCGCTGCAATCTAATGCTTCCTCACCTACAATTGGAGCTGAGTGATGTTGGACCAGCCCTTTGTCTTCCTTGTGCAAACAGCCTAAGGCATATATTAAGTGAATCCCCTCCAAGTAAGCTTTGGAAACTCAAGTGCTTGGTTCTTTTGCATAAATTACCAGTACTTGAAAATCAGGTGGCTCCATGTGACCCTGGATACAAACGTTAAGTTTACGGAATTGAGAAAATATTACTACATGGTGGTGGTGTTCTGCCCTTTAGTCTGCTCTGACTCACAGCAACCCTGTATACAGATTCTGAGGCTATAAATCTTTACCAAAGCAGAAAGCGTCCTCTATCTCCTGCAAAGCAGCTGGTGGATTTGAACTGCTGATCTTGTCATTAACAAACCATTGTATAACCCACATTGCTACCAGGGCTTCTTAATAATGACATTGTTATCATTGTTAAATGCCATCGAGTCAATTCTGACTGTTAGAGACCCTGTCCAGTGTTTATTCTCCAGTGCCACACAAGGACTTCTTATAGCCATGGATATTGATAAATTATTTTATTGTGATGTTTTTACAATTGTAATAACAAAGTTAACCTGTGATAGAACCAGAATATATATGTTGTTGTTGTCAGGTGCCATCGAGTCGGAACCGACTCATAGCGACTCCATGCACAGCAGAACGAAACAATGTTCGATCCTGGGCCTAGAAAGGAAAAAAAATCTCTTATGCATAATGTTGCTTACCACAGCATTATTTGTAATTGTCAAAAATTGAAAAAAACCTAGAAACAAACCATAGTACATCTACAAAATGGAGAACTATGCATACAGTTAGAAGAGTTTTAGGAATTTCACAGAAAAATAGGAGTCCCTGGCTAGTGCAAATGATTAACACATTGAATACTAAGCAAAATTTTAGCACTTCAGTCCACTCAGAGGTGCCTTGGAAGAAAGGCCTGGCTATCTACTTCCAAAATAATCAGCCATTTAGAACTGTGTAGAGCTGGGTGCTACTCTGAAAAAAAGTCGTTGTCATAAGTCAGAACCAACTCAACAGCAGCCAACTAGTAATGTAGAAAAAAGAGCTAACAAACAAATAGGAATTTTAAATATATTTTAAAAATATGGTTCAAGAAGAAAGTTTCAAGTTTTCATGGAATCCAGATTTTCTGAAGCCAATGAAGCTGGATGAGTCCATAAAAGTTTTGCCCTGAGCAATCTTAAAACAAACATATCCCTGAATCTTCCTTATATCAAACAATTGTTTAGCTAACTTAGTAAAGAATGTGTGCCTTGAGTGCTGTACTCTTTGGGAAAAAAATCCACCTATAAAGGATGAAATTGGCATTAGTGAGATTAGATAGGAAATGAGAGAGTTGTGAGTTTATATTAAGGAGAGAAGAGAAATTCAGAAAATAAAGATGCAATGGCTGTGAAGCTTGATGAATAGAACCAATGTCATTGAACTAAACATACAGAATTATTGAATAGGTGTATATTCTGCTGCATATTTTTTCAACAACAAGAAATAAAACAAAGTATTCAAAATATATATGGCTAACAGCGGTTCTAGAAGGAGAAAGATGAGGCGGTCTGCTCCCGTAAAGATTTACAGCCTCAGAAACCCTGTGTAGAGTCGCTATGAGTCGGAACCGACTCCACGGCACATAACAACAACAATAGAAACGGATGCAGCAGAACATTGTCAGGGATCTACCAGAAAAGCAAGCTGGATCCAGAAGAAGACATGGATTAGGGATATCATTACTAAAGTCAGATGGAATCAACTCCATGGAACATAACAACCACAACAATAAAAATTAGATATGTTAAGCATCTTGTTTACAAGTAAATTCAATTTACAACAGAATGAAACATTATTGTCTATCAGACTGACAATAATTAAAAAGACACACTGGAGGCACTCACTCATTTATGCCAAGAAATTTGGAAGACAGATCCCAGGCCAACTGAATGGAAGACATCCATATTTCTAGCTGTCCCAAAGAGAAGTGACCCATTGGAATGAGGAAATCCACAGTCAATAGCATTAATATCACATGCAAGTAAAATTTTCTTAAAGATCATTCAAAACATCTGTAACAGTACATTGAAAGGGAACTGCCAGAGGTTCATACCAGATTCAGACAAAGACATGGAATGAGGGATAGCATTGCTATCATTAGGTAGGTCTTGCTGAAAGCAGAACATACCAGAAAGGTGTTTACTGGTGTTATATTGACTACACAACCATTTTTGACTATGTGGATCATAACAAGCTATAGATAACATTGCAAAAAATGGCTATTCCAGAGTATGTAATTGTACTCAAGGGGAACATATACGAAGAGACAGTTGCTCGAACAGAACAAGGGCATATACTGAATGGTTTGTAATCAAGAAAGGTGTGTGCCAGAATTGTATTCGTTCACCAAATTTATTTAATCTGTATGCTGAGCAAATTATCTGAGAAAGTAGATTATATGAAAAAGAACATGGCATCAGAATTGGAGGAAGATTCATCAAAAACCTGCAATGTGCATATGATACAACCTTGCTTGCTGAAAGCTAAAAAGATTTTAAATACTTGCTGATGAAGATCAAAGATAATTGCCTTCAGTATGGATTGCACTTCAAAATAATAAAACAAATATCCTCACAAATGAATCGATAAATAACATCATGATAAATGGAGAAAACATTGAAATTGTCAAAGACTTCATTTTGCTTGGATCCACTATCAAAACTCATGGAAGCAGCAGTCACAAAATCAAATGACATAGTGAACTAGGTGAATTTGCTGCACAAGACCTTTAAGTGCTGCAGAATAATGATGTCACTGTGAGAACTAAGGTGTGCCTGATCCAAGCCATGTATTTTCAGTAGCCTCATAAGTGTGTGAAAGTTGGACAATGAATCAGGAAGACCATAGACGAATTAATGCTTTTGAATTAAGGTGTTGGCAGAGAATATTGAGAGCAAACAAAACTCTGTTGGACAAAGTACAGTCAGAAGGTCCTTAGAAGCCAGGATATGAGAGATTTGGTGTATCAGATTTCAGACATATTATCAGAAGGGGGTGTACTGATATAGGATGTCAGATAAACACAGGATTGTAAAGTCGGTTTGAACTGCAAGGTTAGGGTTCAAACCCACCAGTAACTCTTTGGAAACCATATACCGGGTTGCAATGAGTCAGCACCGATTTGACATCATTTAACAACAACAAACAGAAGGAGTGGTCCCTGGTGAAGGATATCATACTTGCTAAGGTAGAGGGTTCACAAAAAGAGAAGGTCCCCTAATAAGATTGATTGGGGCAGAGGCAGTAGCAATGGATTCAAGTGTAATAATGATTCAGCAGTGGACGCTATGTGATGCAGTAGTGTTTTGTTCTGTTGTGTTATATGAGTGGGAACAAACTCAACAGCACCTAAAAACAACTCCATATAAAAAACTTGAAAAAATTACATTAAAAATGGTGAGTTGTATTGTATGTAAATTATCCTGAAATTTTAAAACCACTCACACAAAAAAATAATGTTCCATGTTGTTGTGGTGGTATCAAAACAGCTATATTTATACCCTGGAGAGAAATTTTTCAATATGAATAAAAGGTTAATTGTTTTCACCTTTTCTTCGTAACTCAGGTTTATCTGTACAAATAATACAGGAGGACCTCAGCTCCATGTAGATTGACCCCAGAGGGCCACATGAGACCCTCTGTCCTCAGATGACGATTTCTTCTACTCCATCTGTGTGGGAGCCTGGGCACGTTTATGAAGTTGACCTGGAGCCAGAGCCTGAGTTGAGGCCTTGGTTGGAAGTTCAGTAGGGGCCTTGCCTGGAGCTTCAGCCTGACTTTGAGCCTTGGCTTTGGCATTTGGCTGGCAGAGCACCAGACCATTGGCAATGCATGCCTGAGCATGCTTCTCCTGCTTTGAATGGGCAATGAAAGCCACTTGGCTGAACTTGGGGTTGATGCCCTTTGGGGAAAAAAGAGAGCTTTGATGGCCTCGTCACGTGCATCCATGGCCTTGGCGTTGTTGGCCTGCATCTTCTTCGGACCTTTCTTTCTGGGCTTCTTGGCAAAGCACATGCTCCTCAGGAATTTGGGGTCCACCTCCTCAAAGAGTTTCATATCCTTGTGATTGGGGTTTCATGATGCCATTTCTGTGCCATTTTCCAGATTAGTTTTGAATGGCGTGGTTCTAGGACATGGCCAAGTAGGCCCATTCCAGTTGCTCCTAGTCAGTGAACCAGAAAGAGAACATTTTCACAGTTTTGATTCAACAACCCTGTTCCAAAAATTTAATTTACTGTAGGACAATTAGACATTCACAATACTATTTATACTAATAACAACAACAAAAATTACAAACAACTTTGAGTTCCACTAATGTGTGATACATAAAGGAAGGTATGTTTTAATGTAAAACTTCACATGTCTAATAATAATAATGTTGTTGTTGTTGTTATGTGTCGTGGAGTCGGTTCCAACTCATAGCGACACTACACAGGGTTTCTGAGGCTGTAAATCTTTACGGGAGCAGAATGCCTCACCTTTCTCCCGCGGAACAGCTGGTAGTTTCCTACTGCTGACCTTGCTGTTCACAGCCCGATTCGTAACCACTACGCTACCAGAGCTCCTTATTAATAATAATAGCAGCAGCTATTACAGTGATGATGTAGATGAATATGTCCTTACAGAGAAGGCTGCATATTCATATTGTTAAGTATGAAATATTTCAGAGCCTTATGCTCAGCATAATCCCTTTTTAATTTAAAATCTCAGCCTCAGATATTTTATGCAGATGACAGGGTACTTACTGTTTTACCTTTTCTCTACAGAAAACCAAACTCAAATATTTTCCACTATTGGAAAATATTTGAGCTTTCTTTTTCTGATGGGTTTCTGCCTTACACAGGTCCAGCTTTCATAGGTTTTACTGCATTTATAAGGACAAAAATTTTAACAAATCATATTTCAAAGTATTGAAGATAATTTTCAAAATCTGATAATACATCAGGTCATTTAAATTGTTTTCTATTTAGATTAGGTTTTGAAATTTCTAATAATTTTATAAATTACTTGCATGCAAACTTTTTTACAAGTTGAAAAGAGAAAGAGTGATATTAACCAATAGATTCTAAGACCATGAGGTAAATCCTTAACTTCCAGTTATTAAATGAGATTATAAAAGGACATTACTTTCCATATACTTGTATTGTGAGCATACGATGTATGGGGAATAATGAAATGAATGATGTTTTTATTTTCTACTTTGTACATTTCTTAATGAACATATATTATCACTATAATCAGAATTTAAAAACAAAACAAACAAACAAAAAAGCCACTGTCTTTGATTTGATTCCAAATAACAGAGACCCTATAAGATTTCTGAGTCTGCAAATATGTATGGGAGCCTCATCTTTCTAACTCAACTTGGCCAGTGAGTCTGAACAATGACCTTGTGGCTAACAGACTAATTCTTAGCCCACAAATTCTTATAATCAGAAAAGTAATTTTAACTTTTTAATTTAAAAAAACACAAGGAAAAGTCAGTTATAAAGAGTATACGTGGTTGATAAATAAAAGAGGAAGTTTAGACTGAAATTATGCATTTAGATATGTGATATTGCTTATAGAAAAATCACCAAATATAAAAATTAAAACACGTTATCAAAGTGGAATGACACATAGTTTTTATTTTAACATAATATGATTTGCTCTGTTTTGCAAAAACAATCCTTCACTTACATTGTAGTGAAATAATAAGGATAATCTAACAAATGTTTTCTATGGACCTTTAATAAGCTTATTTTTAATGGTCATCAAGCCAAGTACAACTCATGGGGATCCCATATGTTAGAGAGCAATGTAACAGTGCGGTCTGTTACTTCAGAAGTCTGGATCTCTGGACAGAGGACAGAGAACAATAAAAGGGCAATTATTGGTACAGAGATGCCAGGCACATTTTCTCACTTCCCATGATATAAGCAATTTACTAAGTTGACCTTCCCTGATTCCCTGTGTGAAGCAGCCCTTTCTGATTTAAGTTCATGGACTCAAATGTGACCCATCCCAGCCTACCCAAAGTCTCAAGTCAATTAGTGGATTCAACTATTTGGGTCACAGTGATTCCTTAACCTAGGTCAATAAAACACAAGGCAAGATTTCGTTAAAAACATTGGGAAAGGATGTCTCTTTCACTCTATGCATTTGATTTTTTTTTAAAGGATGTCTTTTTTTAAAAAAATCTCTATAAAAGGAGCTATGTAGATGAATGAGTTTCTGATATGGGTTTAGAATATAGGCCTCCCTCCTAATTGCCTCATGTGTCCCTCATCCATAACCTTCACCACACTGTGCTCTGGTCACTGATATTTCTGTCTCTTCCCCAGATAATTAATTAGCTCCCTAAGGAAAGAAGACACATCTCCAATATGTTTGGTCCTGGCACAAAAAAACAATCTAAACATGCATCTGCAAAGACAATTACCCTGATGGACTCACGAATGTTGAAATGAAACCATTGTTGGTTCTGTCATTGGGGACACTGGTTTCTGAGACTCTAGTATTTCTATTGAGTAATGCTACAATCTACAGTCCTCATCTTCTACCCTCAGTCCCTGCTCTGAGTCATCAACTGTGATGACTGATATGGTGGCCCCTTCATTATCCAACAAAGAATCCAAAAAACATTAGTAGATAGGTTTGTGGTGGGGGTGAAGGCCATCTTTTGTAGAAAGCCTTTTATGATGAAACACCACAAAACCAGAGGGGACCACGAGACCACTGAGACCACCTCCACCCGCTTCCTTTCCTGAGGGATAAAAGCAAGGCTGGAGGAAGCCCCAGCAACTCCGACCAGGACAATCTGCCTGTGAAGATGCAGCTCCTCCTGCTCCTCTTAGCCTGTGTTCTGGTTCCTAGGGCAGAGACAGGTGAGTGACTGACCCCACCCTCTAGGCCTCACCCCATGCCACAGCAGGCACTGATCTCCTTCTGCACACTCCGGTCTGTATATTGTTAAGTGCCGTTAAGTCGGTTCCGACCCATAGCTACCCTTTCTAGGGTTTTCTAGGAGCAGCTAGTGAGCTTGAACTGCCAAGTTCTTCCTTACTCCTGTCCCACCCCGGGCCCCTAGTATAAGTCTCGATAAGCTATCTGCAGGACAAGCAGGAATATCTGTTCCTAAGATGATTCAAGGGTACCATTCCTTCCCTGTGTTGTACAATTTTCATCTAGAAAGTGGAATTTTCCTAGAAGTACAATGCCATGAGTAGGGAACAAGAAAGGAGAAAAAAATCAAATGTCCCAGCACATGGTAAAGTTAACCTGGCTTCTGTGTCTGGGGTGAGACAAGTCCTCCTTTCATTCACCCATCAGCCTGGAAGAGAAGCACACAGCTCAGCTGACCCTGGGACTGATGGACCCACTGTCCTTTCAATACTGTTTACCTTTACTTTACCCCAAGACACCTCAGTCCATTTCTCCAATGCTGCATTTGCTTCTCATGCCTCACTAACTTTCTTCTTTTCAAACACAGGTCTTAATCACTGGCAGACCCAAAGTTCTCTGCTTTCCAGAATCCCACTACCCCAGCAACCCTCATCCAGCAATTAGGAGTTATTCCTTCAGACAGCCAGTAAACATATCCTGGGCACCCACTCTGTCAGACTATAGGAAATAGGATGTAACAACATTTAGATCCCTAAACGTATGACCTGGCCATCTGAAAGCAGTTGCATCGCAAATAATCACAGGATTCTCAGGGGTCTTAGAAATTCATTTCAAACCAGGAGAGATACAGTGGGGAATTCTCTTCAGCCTCTGGGAAATCACTGTCCCTAAGACAGCTATGCTCTCCTCCAACTCTGTCCAGAAGTAAGATGACAGACTCAAGACAGTTCTTCTCTTGCCTAGAGGAGGAGGCTAAGGCCTCTATTCCCTGCAACCACACCTCAGGCCATCACAGGCTTGTAAATACATAGGAATTCTGGAGTTGTCAAATAGAAGCTTAGTGGGGGACTCACTGATACACAAAACAGACTAGATTTCTTCTTCAGAGGAGATCATCGGGGGACAGGAGGCCCGGCCCCACTCTCATCCCTACATGGCATGTATTCGTTATTGGAAAGACAAAAAATGTGGATGTGGTGGTTTCCTGATCCAAGAAGACTTTGTTCTGACGGCTGCTCACTGTAATGTAAGGTGAGGAGAAGCACAGAGCCCACACTCCCCTGGGAAGCCTTACCGTCTTCAAGGACTTCTCAAAATACAGAGTGAGAAAGAGGACAGTTAATTTTGTGGAGAGGAACAGTTCTGAATAGATTTACAGAGGGATGTCTGAATAGATCCTAGACTAACCAAGTGTGTCATATTTATAACAGGGACCATGGATTTGGGGTCAAAATGCGAACAAACTTGCAAGTTTTCTTGTGGGTAACTGGTCCCTGAGAAACACAGGGGAAGTTATTAATGACTCCAGCATCCTGCTGGGCTACTAATAGAGGGCATAGTGAGCTCAGTCCCAAGCCCTCCTGCCCCCTCCATTTCCATCAGGTACACTCCTGTCCTGTCCTAGCTATCATCTGCTCTTCCCACATTCTGGGCTACAGCTCCTATGACTCCCCGTGCCCCACGCCTCTCTCTCTCTACAGATTCATGAGTGTCACCCTGGGTGTCCATGACATCAGTCAGAATGAAGAGACACAGCAGTTCATCCGTGTGAGAAAAGCCATCCCCCACCCATACTATGATAAAAAGACACTTGTGAATGACATCATGCTACTACAGGTGAGGCATAACCCCCTGCTGTATCTTGCTCCCCGGGTCCAGGGAGGTTCTCCTCCCAGCATGACCCCTGTCCTTTCCATCTCTCCACCCTGACTGTCTGATTAGTTGCAGGGCCTTGGACAAGCAGGAATGTGGTGCAGTCAGTCACAGTCTCTAGACTCAGCAGGCTGATGTTGATCAGGATTTTCTCTCTCTCTAACAGTTGGAGAAAAAGGCCAAATTGACAAATGCTGTAGACATACTGCAGCTACCTAAGACAGAAACCCAGGTAAAACCAGGGACAACATGCAACGTGGCCGGCTGGGGTAAACTCTCACTCAACAGTTCAGGATCATCGAAACTGTATGAAGTGAAGCTGACTGTGCAGAATGACAAGGAGTGTGAGTCCCGCTACGGTGATTACAAGAGCGCCTCTGAGATATGTGTGGGAGACCAGAAGAAAAAGGCTTCTACCTTTCAGGTGGGATGTAGCATCTACATAGCCTGACTCTAGTGAAAAGGATGTGAGGGGATCTGGGACCAGGAGACCCAACCATTAAGTGGACTCCTTCATCCACTAGATTATGGGGGTTTTCCCTTGGGAAGAGAAGAGGAAAACAGGATAACGGAGAAGTCTCTAGGGTTTCTGCTGGGCTCCCAACTATAACTCTGAAAAAGTCCCTCTTCCAAAAGGAAGAATTGGCAACTCTCTGCTCCATTCCAAAGGTTTGGCGGTGTAAACTGCTTGTGTTCAGCTAGCAACCTACAGTTGATGCTTCAAGCCCACTCAGAGGAGCCCTGTAAGGAAATCCTGTGGAGCAGTTCTCCTCTGGAACACATGGGATTGCCTTGAGGCTAAATCAGCATGGCAGCAACTGTTTATTTGCTTTGTTTGTTTATTGGGGGATGAAGTTTACCACAGCCCAGGTAACACTAGAATATAGCTCTCCCTCCATATGAAGGAATGAAAATCAGGCTGCAACTAAAGACATGCAAGTCACTTTGAGTAGTGGACAGTCCTCTATGCTGTCCTCTAGTTACATTTGCCTGCCTCTGTTCACCTAAGCAGCAGTTGGAACAGAAGGTCTCACAGTCCCATATATAGAGAGGCTCCTGGACCAAGGAGCAGAAGGTAGACACAGCCTGGAATGAGGTAAATCAACAACAATGTCTAGGCTCACAGTTTGGCAGCTGAGAATGCCCAGAGGCCTACAGACCATCTTTATTCACACCACAAGGTAGCCTTCTCCTGGAGTGTGAAACTTGACAGGGCAGCAGAACCAGGAGGAAAACCAGCTCAGTCCTTCCCCTCTCTGTTCACAGGGAGACTCTGGAGGCCCGCTCGTGTGTAACAACGTGGCTCAGGGCATTGTCTCCTATGGAAAACTTGATGCCACTCCTCCACAAGTCTTCACCAAAATCTCACATTTCCTGAAATGGATAAAGAATACCATAAAGAGCCTCCAAATGAAGAAATCAGATGAGCCCCTCTTTGATTGATCATCTTCTCTGGAGGTCCAGCACCTTAATAAATGTGTTCTGACTTAGAAGAAAGGCTTGCTGTCTTGTTTATTCATTGACTCTCTTTCAAGTTCACCAACTCTGTGCTAAGTAGGCCAGGGACATAATTCTCTTCTGTGTCCTGCTTTCCGTTTTCTCCCCACCATATACCCAAATCCCCATGTAATGTAGTCGTGCATCTCCTCCTTTCTCAGTCCTGTATCTCCATGGCATGCTCTTCATGAGAGCTGAGGCTGAACACCCTTACTAGGAAATGAAAAAGTTCTGGTCCTGGGCTTGGGGGAATGTCTAACTTCCTTCACCAGTGTTACTTGGCTGGCATGAAGGAGATCCCCATTGGGCTGTGGAGGCCAAGCAGGTATGTCATGGGTCTCAGGGAAGAGCAACACCAGAACATTTCCTTCCTATAGCTGGGGAAGCTGGTAATTTTGGAGGGACGAGTCTGTTAAGATTCTTCATTCTCTCCTGGGTTTCGTCTCCTTCCTGCCCATTTCTGCTCTGAACTTAGGACTCAGCCCAGTACCCAGACTCCTAGATACATTTTCTCTTCCATCTACACTTACAACTGAGACTTCTCAGAGTCCACCAACTGCTGTCCCATCCAGATCACACTGATCTGAACTGGACCCCTCCTCATCTTGTCACCAAGAACATCCACAGACCTGTGTGGATTCCAGCAGAGTATGAGCACTTGGGTGCTAAGTTAGCCCAGGCTCTGGTACAGAAGAACCACAGAGAGACTAGTGCTGATCAGGGACAAGTGCTGGGCAGGGTGTGAGGACAGTGGTACTGGTAGGGTCACTCTCCACAGCCGTTGGTTCCAACGCTCAATTAGAAGGAAGCAAAGCAACTCCCATTCAACTCAGCATCCAGCTCAGTGCCCACTATAAGCTCAAGGTCCACTGTCCACCAGGTAACCTGAATCGCTTACTGTTTTCTCCTCTTGTCACTGCTGGTCTCTAGGCTAAACTGCCCAGGAAATAGCATTGATATTATCAGACTTTAGAATTAAAAAGGACTTCTCTCTGCAGTAGGAAAGGAAAGCACAATTGTTGCCACCCATCAACCAACAAATGCAACTTGAAAACCTACTAAGTGGCAGGCATTAAACTGAAAGTACCATGTCTGTCATCTATACTCAAATGAAACTGTGTTGAGTATTTTCATTTAAATTGTCTAACATCTCTCCCTTCCACCATATATGTCCATATGGCCTAAATCTGTGAGAAAGACATAGAAATAAACATATTTGCATTTCTCTTCATTCACTGCTATTTACAGTTTGGATGAATGATCGTATGTGACCCAGGAACCACTGTCTATGGATTTGGAACTGACTGTGGTTTCTAGATATGAAGTTTACAAAATGTGTCACTGAAACAAATTCACCTCGGAGGAACGGTAGACTTGAACATAATTGTACAGATTCAATATCTGGAAAAAACATTCGCATAATTGCCTGAATACATTAGAGTCTGGCTTTAAAAAACCCATTCTACTGGAGTCTTCAGGAACTTCTATCCAGTCATTGCTGCAAGTTCTTCCTTGTGCACAATTAAACGAGAACCAGAGGTCCAAGTGGTCTGGGAAAATGGAGAATGCCTCTAATCTTAGGCAATCACGGCTCCTGATAAGTCCACAATTTCTAGAAGCACCTAGACTTCTCAACCATGTAAGTTCTCTCCTTAGGACCCATGCATAAAGTATGTGACTTTTGCTGAATATGGGCTCCATGTGCCAGGTACACACAGCAGTCATCGCCTCTGAGATCTTGCTATTAATATGGGACACTGTCTGGAGCAGAATGTAAGTCCCATCCCTGCTACAATGCCTCCCTGCTACCAATACACACAACACTAAGCTCAGTTGAGACATGCAGTAATTCTTGTCATCTGTAAATGTCAACCCTAAAAGGTATGGCTTTTTATACCTTGTCAACAAAGCACACCACAATACAATTTCATAATGATCTTGGATGTTTTTACAAGGAATGAGCATTGGATGTCACATAGCTTCTGATTTATGGATGGAAAAATATTCCTGCATTTCAGATATATCAAGGGCCTCATTCCTTAATTGGAAAAGACAACCACAAAAAAAGGAAAATGCAGAAAGCAAAACAAAAATAGTATATAGAAATGTTCCCTACTCACATATATATTCAGTTTAAGCATTATATTTACTTCGAGAAAATCATTCAATGGTTTAAAACAGATGTGAAAACCATTGTTACAGGCCCTCATTCTCTTCTCGGAGATAAAAGACAAAGATCCAATCAAAGGTACCACAGAACTTAAGATAAAACCAGGACCCCTATACACCAGGCCTGCAAGAAATCTTAAATGTCCTCTCATACCCACATTTTGATAGGTTCCTAGCATTCTTGGATAAGAGATGGTCTTTGGCTTACGCACCTTCCTGGAGAAAAAGCCTCTGGCCTACTTGGCAGCCTTTGTGCAGACCCACCAGAGGAATCAGGACCTAGGACAGAAAGGGAGGACTGCTAAATTGGTTCCTGGAGAAGACAGACTTAAATGGCTGGCAAGATCTTCCTAATTTTTTATGGGGAACATGTATTGGTGTGAATCTGTCTTCTCTTCTCACAACCATTCTTTGTTGTTGTTGAAGTTTGCCTGTTTTATTTTCCTTATTCCCTGTTTCACTACCTAAATTTCTCAAGACTGAACTTACAAACAAACAAACAAAAATTCTTAGTGTAGTTAAGAAATATGTTGTTGTTGTTGTTGTTACGTGCTGTGGAGTCAGTTCCGATTCATAGTGACCCTGTACAGGGTTTCCGAGGCTGTTAATCTTTATGGGAGCAGAATGCGTCATCTTTCTCCCGCGGAGCAGCTGGTAGTTTCGAACTGCTGACCTTGCGGTTCGCAGCCTGATTCATAACCACTCCGCTACCAGAGCTCCTAGTTAAGATGTATAAATGCATAAAATGAAAGTTTTTGTAATCCTTTTTTTTTTTATTGCTGTTAAGTGTTATCTCATCAGTTCTGACATGTAATCACCCTGTCTAGGTTTTCCAAGGCTGAAAATCTTTGCAGGAATAGAAATCCTCATCTTTCTTCTGCAGATCACCTGCTGAGTTTGATCCACTGACCTTGTGGTTTGCAGTTCAGGGCTTATCCTACGGATCCACCATGCTCCCAATAATCTATTTTAAGAAAAATAAAAAGCACAGGTTTAAAAATAAGCAAATCACTTTGACTCTTCCAGACACAGAATTTCTCTCCTTTTTTATTTCTTTACCTCCCCACACCCTTAAAAGAATAACTCTCCTCCTTTCAAGAAGTACAAAAGATAATTTTTTCACACTTCTTTGTAGTAATTCTGCCATGCAGTTTCTCACAATTCAGTTCCAGAGAAACATCCCTCATTTTTGTTTGCTAACTTTTTATTGTGAATTGAGTAAAGGCTTACAGAACAGATCATTGGATTTGCATTCAAAACATTGTATCCTTCATTTCATTTCAATTGTTTGCAATCCACAGCATGTATTAACTCCTGGAAGAGATGGGAACAGAAACAATGTGGTCACTACAGAAGGTTGTGGTTTGCCCTCATAAGCATGTGAAAGTTGGACAATGAATAAGGAAGATAACAGAACTGATGCATTTTAGTTATGGTTTTGGAGGAGACAATTGAGTTCAAACAAATCTCTGCTGGAAGAAGTACAACTAGAATGTTCCTTAGAAGCCAAGATAGCGAGATTTTGTCTCTCATAATTCAAATATATTATCAGAAGTGTGGTTCCAGAGAAGAACATCATGCCTGGTAAAGAGGAGGGTCAGCATAAAAGAGGAAGACCACCAACGAGATCAATTGCCACAGTGGCAGCAGCAATGGGCTCAAGTATAACAATGATTGGACAGTAGGTGCAAAACCAGGCAGTGTTGGTTCTGTTGGGCACAGAATTGCTGTGAATCAGAACCAACTCGACAGTACCTAATAACAACAACAACAGCTGTATATAAAACACTTGAAGCAATTACATTAAAAATGGTTAAGTTTATTTTACGTAAATTATCCTGAATTTTAAAAACCACACACACAAACATAATAGTTCATGCTGGTACGGTGGTATCAAAACAGTTATATTTATAACCTGGAAAGAAATTTTTCAATATTAATAAAAGGTCTAATTATTCACCTATTTTTCCTGCCTAATGTTTAGCTGTACAAATACCACAGGAGGACATCAGCTCCGTGGAAATGGCATCCCAGAGGGTCACATCAGTCCATCTGTCCTTAGATGAAGACTTCTACTCCATATTCGTGGGTGTCCAGGCACCTGTAGAAGGCTGGCCTGGAGCCAGAGATTGAGTTGAGGTCGTGCCTGGAGCTGCAGCCTAACTTTGAGCTTTGGCCTTGCCATTTGGCTTGCAGAGACTTAGACTCTTGGTAAAGCATGTCCAAGTATACTTCCCCTGCTTTGGATGGGCAATGTATGCCAGTCAACTGAGCTTGGGGTGACGTCCTTTGGAATCTTAGACTTCACTTCCTTGGACTTTATGAGAGCCTTGATGGCCTCGACATGTGTATCCTTGGCCTGGGCGTTGTTGGCCTGCATCTTCCGCAGGATTTTCTTATTGTGCTTTTTGGCAAATCATATGTTCCTCAGGAATTAGGGGTCCTCCCCCTCAAAGAGTTTCATATCCTTGTTATCAGTGCCATTTTCCAGATTGTTTGTGCAGTGTGGTTCTAGGACACGGCCAAGTCTGCATTGTCACTTGTTGCTCCCAGTGTACCAGAGAAAGCAAATTTTCACATTTTTGATTCAACAACCCTGTTACAAGAATTCAATTATTGTAGGATAATTAGACATGCACAATACTATTTATTCTAACAATAACAACAAAAATTACAAACAGGAGGCAGGCCTTGATGGCAGATAGGGTAGAGGTGCAATAAAGATCTCCATCAGCAAGAACACAGAATAATAGGTGAAGTGGGTTTAAGAGAGAGAT